CTGCAGCTGTAACTGAAGTTATTGGGTGTGGTGGGCACTCAGTAGCTCTGAAAACTGGACCCTGGCAGCCTAGGAAGCTCTTCAAAGCTCTGACCCTGCTCCCAACTCCACCGGGGCAGACTCCAGCCTCCACATGGAGATCTCTGCAAAATCAGGACTCCAGGTGGTATTCAGGCATTTAATTAGTGCTATGCATTTTGTCTCTAGGCAATTCTAGGTAGTTAATAATTCATGGCTTGTGATGAACCCAATACCTCAGCTCTGACTAGCCATTGTGAAAATAAGCATGCAATACAACTACATACAAGTGTATGCATATGCATCACACGTCACACGAATCCATGTGACTCTGAACTTGCAGTTCACAGATTCTAAGGCCAGAAGGGAGCACTGTGATTATCTAGTCTGACCTCCTGCAGAGTACAGACCATAGGATTTCCATGAATTAATTCCTGTTTGAACTAGACCAAAAGCATCCAATCTTTATTTTAAAATTGCAGTGAGGGAGAATCCTCCACAGCCCTTGGAAATTGTTCCAGTGGTTAATTATCCTCACTGTGAAAAATTTGTGCCTTATTTCTAGTCTGGTGATCCATTTTGCTCTCCCCAAATTGTGTCTTTTGTGCAATCACATTTTTGCACATGCAAATATTTTGCAGATGCAACTTAGGTTCTGTTGTTTGCAAACGTAGCGGTGTGGGTACACTTTCAGAGCTACAGAAAGCCTGAGACTTGTCACACCCACTGATTTCAACAGAAGAGGTACAGCTGCATCCTCACATAATTAATGCATTGAACATTTCGGGTGAGGAGGCCGGGTTGAATCCACATGAGATAGAAATTATTTTTCCGAGTTACTTGTTTGCTTTTTCTGGGTCTGATTTTTTTTTTAAAGGCTATCATAAAATGGTGTGTAAATGCACAAAATCTCAGTCAAAGGTACGTGACATGTCTCGGGATGAGTATCAGGGCTCAGTAACAGCTTTAAAATGGCTGGTGAGGGTTATCTTGTAAATCCCCTTTAAGGACTTTTTACAGTGTCATGTACTCACTGGGCTGTTTTGGAGCAAACATTTTATCAAGTGGATCTGTCGAGGTTTCATACAGTGCAGATTACTGTCTACAGCCTGCTGACGGTGATGGCTCTTTCACAGTTATTATCTGTTGTATCAATATGACTCTTTAAAGAGTGTTGATGTTTAGAAAAATGACTTATGAACACCCTCTTCTTAGTCCTGATCATTGACTTCCAAATCTGTCAGCATCATGTGACATGCCGTCCCAGGAGGAATGGGGAGAGGGCAAAACTATGTCAGCAAATAGAATGTTATATGGGATCATATTATTATGTCCTGCAAAGTTGGTGGCAGGGGAGAAGCGGAGCATATAAACCAATGAAAGGTCTGGGTGGCACACCAAGGTCTGGGGGAGCAACTGCCCCCTTTCCCCATAGCAAATGATGCCCTTGCAACATCCTAGTGTGTATGATCATGTCCGTCTACTAATTAGCCCCAGTAAGCCTACTGCTTACTCACTGCTAGAAAAATTCTCCTTAACCTCAGGTGGTAGAAGCGGGTGATCTTGTGGCTGATGCATGAGTCAGAAAAAAGCATGGGGAAGGTCTTTGCAACACTGGAGCAGCTATGGCAAGGTCGCAGCTATCCTAACATCCATATACATCTACATGCCTATCATTTGACAATAAAATTGAGCACACGGGTGCAGGCTGGGCTTTGTCCCCCCTTGATGAACGGAATTTGTTTGTTGTTTGACCTTACCAGCAGTAAAGGCTGCCTTGTTTAGTGATGTCCTCTCCCTGCGGCTAAAGACAGCGAGCTGCTGCAGGACGTATCGTGACCCTTGGCCTGCACATTGGTCACCCGTCCTGTAGGCAGCCTGACATCATTGCTCTTCCTGACCCGAACAGGCTCCGCAGGACTGGCAGCACCGACATGCTATTGCCAGTAATATGAGTGCATGTGAGACGTGACAGGCACAAGGCGTGTGCAGTAGACACCAAGGGGTGATTTTTGTAGACGATAGGGGCGGAGGGAGAAGTCTGAACAATGCTGAAGCCCAGACACCAACCAAAATCCCAGCTCAGAAGATCCCCCTCCCCCATAGCCTGGAGCTCAGGGGTTGTTCAAAATCCAGATCCCAGGTTTGCATCTCAAAGGGACAAGATGTGCGTAACTTAAATATCCATCCATGATGCCCAATGTACTACTTATGTACCCAGCATCTGCGGTTAGCCTCCTGCTGCTCAGTTAATGAAATGTGTGGTACCTTTTAAAGTGTGCACAGGTGTGGAATAGAGGAGATAAACTGAACAAGATTAGTTAGGGTTGTTTGAGTGGGTTTTTTTAACCAGCCTAGAGTGAACTGAAGTGAGATGAGATAGGAACTTATTTCCCTACCACTGGCTCCATAATAGGGGCTGCAGGTCACTAAAAGGTGAGAGGACAAGGCTGGAAATAGGGAGCTTTGGCCCCTTGCCTGGTGGATCTAGAAAAAAATATCCTATTTGTTCTGCCCATTTCTACAAGAAGAAGGGAGGACTCTGTGAAGTTATAAGAACCAGCACGATTAAAAGGGATAAAAGGAAATGCCTGAGAAATCAGTGGAACTCACTGCTGCAGGATACTAGCGAGGAAATAACATGGTGATATATTTTTCAAAGAGCTAGACATTTATATATATATTTTATATGCATGAGAATAGACTCTGCAGTCACAAGGGCTGCCAATCCCACCAGCTGAACTCCAGCTTGGGTTAGAAAGAAATTCTCCCTTATACCATAACATAGCATTGCTCACTGAGGTGATGTTCAGATAGGGCTGGTTTTGGAGGGAAGGGTTATGGCTTCCCTTAGAGCTTCCAAGACAGATTGCTGTTGGGCTGGATGGACAGTTGGGGCAAAATTTTCAAAAACACCTATGTGACTTAGAACCCTAAATTCCACACCTTGAATACTTGTACAGATGTGGTCACCCCCCCTCAAAAAAGATATATTGGACTTGGAAAAGGTTCAGAAAAGGGCAACAAAAATGGTTAGGGTATGGAACGGCCGCCGTATGAGGAGAGATTAATAAGACTGGGGCTTTTCAGCTTGGAAAAGCGACGACTAAGGGGGGATATCATAAAGGTCTATAAAATCATGACTGGTGTGGAGAAAGTAAATAAGGAAGTGTTATTTACTCCTTCTCATAACATAAGAACTAGGGGCCACCAAATGAAATTAATAGTCAGCAGGTTTAAAACAAACAAAAGGAAGTATTTTTTCACACAATGCACAGTCGACCTGTGGAACTCCTTGCCAGAGGATGTTGTGAAGGCCAAGACTATAACAGGGTTCAAAAAAGAACTAGATAAATTCATGGAGGATAGGTCTATCAATGGCTATTAGCCAGGATGGGCAGGGATGGTGTCCCTAGTCTCTGTTTGCCAAAAGCGGGGAATAGACCACAGGGGATGGATCATTTGATGGTTATCTGTTCTGTTCATTCCCTCTGGGGCACCTGGCATTGACCACTGTCGGAAGACAGGATACTGGGATGGACCTTTGGTCTGACCCAGTATGGGTGTTCTTATGTTCTTATGTTCCTGTTCAAAAGTGACTTAGGAGCCTAAGTCCATTGGATATGATTTGGACATCAGCTCCTAAGGGCCAGATGTTTAAAGGTACCTAGGTGTCTAAAGATGCAGATAGGAACCTAGCAGGATGCTCAAAAATGCCTAGGCAAGGTAGGCCCCAACTCCCATTCGATCCACTGGGAAACTTCCCTTGGAAGTTAGGTCCTTAACCTGCTTAGGCATTTTTGAAAATCCTACTAGGTGCCTGCATGCCTCTTCAGGTGCCTAAATCCCTTTGTGAATCTGGCCATAAGTCACTTTTGAAAATGGCATTTAGGTCCCTAAGTCACTTAGGTCCATGGGAAAATTTTACCCTTGGGCTGTTTTTGTTTGACAAAATATACTTCAAATCATTCCAGAGTAGGAGCAATAGATATCAATCATAAACATTCCCACAGAACTTGCCTCCATGAGACACCAGCTGACTGTCCCAGGTGTGCCTGATTCTATGAGGTGCTGAAACCGCCTGGGACTCACTGATGTCAATACTGTATTAAGCCAAGCACAAGGAGCAATCTCTAGGAGTTTGCCAAGGGCTGTATGGTGGAATGCTCCATCCAAGGTGACCCATCTGGACCTGTCTGCCTGTCCTCTGAGTGGGGTTTTGCCAAGTCAAAATTCCAAACAGCTACATGGAAGAGGCAGATGCATTTCTGTGTAGAGACTGGCGCACCTGAGCAAAGCAGAACCTGAGTTCCAGCCCCCTCCATCCCTGCCCTCCACGTGTCTGCTTGATTATTCTAGGAAACAGCATCTCTTGGTGCACATGAGTAAAGACAGCCCATTAGGTCGAGCTGTGTCCTGGCTTTGCAAGATGAATACACGTCATCTAGACTGAGACCACCAAACTCATTGTACTTGTGACCAAATTACATATGAATCCAGGCTTATATCTATAAAACCCCATAGCCCTTCAGTGCACACTAGTCAAATAGCAGTGGGATGGTACAGATTTGGAGACCTGATATCTGACTGCTGAGGTGCATTTCTAGTGTTGTAACCCAGGGCTGCAATAGCCAGGGATGCTGTGGGCCAGGATTGAAGTACACTGGCAGGGCTGTGGATGGAGAGCCTAGGTATGGAAGAGAAGAGGGTAGGGGAATGCAGTCATGACTGGCAGAGCTGTGGGTCCCAGACTAGGAATAGCCAGGGTTGCTGTGGGCCAGGATTGAGATGCATGGGCAGGGATGTTTAGGGAAGCTTTTATGTCATCATCTCACCCTCTCCCTGGCCCAGGCGAGTGCTGACAATCCATCACTTTCACCGTTGCTGACCCGCTCCTTCCCATCTTGACAAAACAAATGACTATGTTCCCCTGAGCCCCAAGCCCTGCTCTAGCCTCTTTCTTGCTCTTTGTGTGACTGCAGTGATGGGCGTGCTGGAGTCCAGAGGGGTGCTGCGGAAGATGAGCGACATGCTGGAGATGATGGTGAAGAGGATGGACGTACTAGCCAGGCTGGAGAATAGCACTGACTCCCGGAAAGGGGAGGAGGCACGTTTTTCTCCGGACAGGTCAGTGGCAGCGGGAATGGTGCCGTTTGGGATCAAAGTACCCCTTCCTCCAAACCCACCCGGCTCCGTTTACAAGAGAGGATCCCACACTGAAAGGTCTGATCCCTGCAAGATGCTGGGTGCCCTCCAGTGCCATTGCTGTCCGTGAGAGCGGGGCGTGCTCAGTACTTTGCAGGATCCAGACAATGAGAGCTTAGGGGATGCTGCTGCTATCAGCCGAGCTGCTGTTCTTTTGTGGAGGCTCAGCACATCCCCAGTAAAAGCGTGTTCCTTGCCTGAGTCTCTCGAACTGGAATCATTTCTCAGGTGCAGAGCTACTGCTCCCAGGATGTAACCACGTGAATGAGACATTACCACTACCTGGTGCTGGACGAATGTAGCCTCCTGATTCAATGGGTTCACTATACTAAAGCACTGACCTCCATATCAGCACCCTCTCCCCTGGCTCTGCAGCCCTAATCCCAGCCTGGTGTGGAGGGGGTTCCCGGAGGGCTGCAAAGCAAGCCCACCTCACACTCCCCCCTCAGGGTTACTCCTGTCTCATGAGGTTGCGTTCAACTCCCCACACCAGGCATTGCGACCTGGTGTATGGGCTTGCAGCACCACCCAAGTTTGGCCCAGCCATCCGTCTGTCATGATGGAGGGGCAGCCAGGCCAAACCTGAGTGGCGCGGTGCGCTCACGTGCCAGCTTGCAATGCCGGGAGCGGGAAGCCAGACCCAGCCCTGTGGGACAGGAGCTGCCACAGTGGGGTGAGTGCAGGGTGGGCTCGATTTCCAACCCCTTCTCCTAGGGCCTCCCCTCCGCACTGGACCAGAAGAAGTGTATGTGTGCCTGTTTTTTCACCCTTGGTTGCATGCTTTCTGTGCGTGCCATTGAATCCACGTGAAAGCCATCCCTGCATGGTGTCAGGAACAGCAAGCAGCAATGGCAGAGCCCGTGTGGTCTGGGGTTCTGTGAAACTGTTAGAACTCTGTCTGTGTGTCTTTCTGTCTGTCTGTCTGTCTCTCAGTCAGTTTGGGATTCCATTAAACTGTTGTGAATTTTGTGACCCCCCCCCCCGCCTTTATTTAAACTAGAGCTGAACCCAGAACAGACTCCCTGTCTATGATACTTCTATGGCCCTTGTCACTGTAGTAGTGGAGTGCATTTAATGCCTTCATCCTCACAACACTCCTATTAAGTAGGACAATAGGAAGGATGGCCCAGAGTTAGGGGGCTAGTTTAGGACTTGAGAGACCTGGATTAAATTCTGTGCTCTGCCACAGACTTCCTGTGTGACCTTGGGCTCATCACTTAGCCTCCCTGTGCCTCAGTTCCCCAACTCTACGATGGGGATAATAGCAAGGCTGTGTCTCACAGGGGTGCTGTGAGGATAAGTCCATTAAAGGTGGAGATGAGGGCCATATAAATTAGGTACTGTTAGCCTCTCTTACAACCGAGATGCAAAGAGGCTACGTGACTTGGCCAAGGTCACCTAGGAAACCTGTGGCAAAGTAAGGAATTGAACCCAGTTCTCCCAAGTCCTAAACTAGCACCCTGTCACTGAGCCATTATTCTCCCTCCTAGAGGGGAACACCTCCGGATCCCAGCTTTGTGGATCAGGCTCCCCCCATCTAATTTAAACTAACATTTTAAAAGCAAGAATGAAACATTCTTAAATAGGTCACCCTTGATATTAAACTTTCATTTAAGAAAGATTAATAGATATTACAAGCAACCTCCAGACGCGAGTAGCATGTGTTACAGAACATTATAAGCACGTTGACAGAAGACATTATAAATAGATATAAGCCAGGATTATAAACCACCTGTCAATCGTTTGGACTGTGTAACAACGTCTAATTGTTGAATAGTCATTTCTTAAAATATCTATTCATTATTTACTAACCCCTTTTAAAAGTGGGAGCTCTCCAGGGCAGAGACTGCCTCTTAGGATGTATTTGTACAGTGCCTCGCACAGCAGGGTTCTGATCTTCACTCTGCCTTTAGGCGTTTGCGGTAATATGAATAATCATGACCATGTGCCCTCAGAGAGGCTGCTGAGCCCTGGAAAGGGGCGGGGTAGGGATGAAAAGGAGAGAAAGAAAGAGAGGAGACAGGAAATCAGAAAACATTTGAATCCCTGCCTGTAATACAGCTCCTCATAGGCCACCTTAGGGAGCTAAGCCTCTGATTATCACCAGCTACGTGGAGTTTAAAGCCATGGTGCCCACTCACCCTCCCTCACCATTATCTTATTTTTCCCACCTACAGTGGAAACACTGAGTTATCTCTCCTCACTCTTTCCTGGCCTTTCCCCTCCCAGGGAGATACACACACAGAGCTCACAACAAACTGGTTAAAAGCTTATTAAGACTAGGAAGAGTAAGGAGGCCCATAAGATCCTGGTGCTTGGCTCCATTTCAGTTCCACAATCCAGCCCTGCTCTTAAATAAGACTGAGGCCATGTTCCCACTAAATGTGGCTGCTGACTTCTTTGAAGTTAAGCTTTGATTAAGTTAGCAGCAAATAATTGAGTGGCAGAGTATTATGAAGATTTCAGGTTTGCTCAGCTTTTTTCCCCCTTCTTCCTTCTCTGCTTTGCCTGGATGCTATTGCCTCTGGGTTAAAAGTCTCTCTGGCTTTTCCTCTCTCTCCCCTCCTGCCGCCTTCTGGCTTTCAAGGAAGAGAGGCAAGAAGTAACCCTTTGAGAAATGGCAGCAATCAGCCATGACCAATGGCGCCCATCAAATCCCAATGACAGACTGATACCTTTCAACTGTTCTTTTCATTACAATCCCACTACCTTAAATGTTACTAAAAAGAGATCTATCTGGATCTGCAGATATAGATAGATAGATGAGCATGTATGAGGATATTGATGGAGAAAGAGAGAAAACATACACACATATACAACATGTCTATATAACACATTTATTTCTGCCACTCTGGAATCAACCACTGGACTATTAAATAAACCCTGGCACTATGGAATCAATTGCATTTTTTTTTTGCACCTTTGACCAGTTCACCAAAACTGCCGTCTAACCTCTCCCCTCTAGCAATACACCTATAATCCAAATGAGAAAATTAGTAATAGTGGCAGCAGTATTACAGTAATTTCCAAGAGGTCTCAACCAAGATAGAAACGCAATCGTATTGGCACTGTACAAACCCATAGTTACAGACAGTCCCTGCCCTGAAGAAATTACAATCTAAATAGGCATTAGAGATACTCCATTATTATCGCTGTTTTACAGAGAGTTGAAGGACTCAAGGCCACACAGGAGTCTGCTGTAGAGTCAGATATTGAACCCAGATCACGTGAGTCTCTGCCTGGAGCCTTGTCCACGAGACCATCCTTCTGTAGTTTCAGGCTCTATCCCCCCACCCAAAGAAGGAAAAAAAAAATGTAGAGACTGACATTTATTCTAGTCTGAGGTCCGCAGCTGGTCCCATTCACCCTTGGAACAGAAATGGGTTTTAAATTAAATATACGCATACTGCCAGGACTAGCAACACTTGCTACATCCCATTGCAGAGCTGGCATTCCCTGCTCCCCAGTGATCCATATTCTGCATCCATTTTCACACTGACAACTCGAGAGATGCCATCAGACCTTCAAATCGTGACATGATGATTTACTCAAAAGACATTTCACATCATTTTGAAAGGCCTTCAACATTTATTAATACTAATTTTTTCTGTCACTCGAAGGCCTGCAGAAATGGTGACTAAAGCAACCTGAACATACACATTTAAGAAAGAGCACTCGTAAAAATGTTAATGTCTAAAGAGATGTCTGAGGCTACGTCTACACTACACCGCATTTATGGCGGTGTGCGGGGTACGCGTAGCGACATGCCGCAGTGAAAAGCAGGCTGCGTCCACTGCTCCACGGGTCAGTGAAAGGCTCTGGCAGGGAGGAGGCAGTGGGGAAAGGCTTCAGCAGCTCCCTCTCCCAGAGCCTTTCACTGCAGCAAGAACAAGCCCTGGCAGGGGGAAGGCAGTGGGGAAAGGCTCAGCTGGAGCCTTTGCCCACTGCCGTCCCTGTCAGAGCCTTTCCCCACTGCTGGAATCTTTCTCTGTGCAGGGGGAAGGTTCCAGAAGCAGAGAGGCAGTGGGACACGACTCTGCTAAAAGTAGCAGCATAATGGGAAGGTACGGCTTGGACAAGCAGAGAGTTGTGGAGGGTATGTACTCGGTACGTACCCGCACCCTTCAAGCATATCTGTACTCTACTAGCCTGAGCCATTCCTCACTGTCTACACTGCTACTTAACTCTGTGGTAGGGGGGCTACCCGAGTACATACCAATACGCCTCCGAAAGAAGCGTGCCGTGTAGACATAGTCGTAAGTAACTTTTCTCTAAATTGTGTAGCAAATAAAATACATGGTGGTGTGCTGTGGCCTGGGAGGGATGACCTCCAACAGTCTGTTATGACTTTGCTACCCGTGAACAATGCAGATATCTCAAATCGGGTGTCGGTTAAACCTTCAGAGCAGTCTCATAATCATTTAATTTCTTATGACACAGCTAGACACACACCTATCCCTGTATTTATATTTACATGTCTATATGCAGATTTGTGAGGAAGGATGGTGTGGTGGTTAGGGCCCTAGGATGAGGAAGACTTGAGTTCAAGTCCCTGCTCTGCTACAGAGTTCCTTGAGTAAGTCGCTTAGCCTTTCTCTGCCTCAGTTTCCCATCTGTAAAATGGGAGGTGGCTGGCAGTCTAAGTACCTAAGACAAGAAACCAATAGAAGGCAGCCCTACCCAACCTTGATGTTGGAAACAGGAGATGAAGATAATACACACATCTGTGTTATAGAGGGCGTAGAAGTACTATGTTAAGGTTGCTTAATATTTCCTGTTATAAAAACTTCTATGACCATTGTGTTGGTGGAAAAAAGTAGTCGATGATTATGTAATTAAAGACTGTATCATAATGCATACACACAAGGGGGATCTAATGAAAGTTGCATGGAGAACCTTAAGTCTGGCATTTCCTGACTTTT